CCCATTTCAGAAAAGCAATGAATCGCCAACAGTCCATTTGAGCTTTGCTTACCCTTCACCAAGCGGTGGTAATTAAGCTTCAATGGAATCAAATATGATAAGGAAGAGGAGGAGGACGTGAGATTCAGAGAGGTAATCGGTGCAAAAGAATTAGTAACGGCAAAGCTATCCGTTTCGGCCTATTCCTCTTGTGAGTTTATCTATCTCCAGCAAGGCAGTAACAAGATAATTTGCTTCGTTGTTCTGCCCCTTCATTTTAGACTTTTTTGGGTTTTTATTTATTTATTTATTGGAAGATATAATGACAGTTCAGTGAACTATAATTAAAAGACCGGTCTGTGATATGATTTGGTTAAGGTGTTAGGCGGTTTGTTTTCTCGGTGTGAATTGATTTTTTTTTTAATTTTTAGATTGTTTGAATATATTAATATTAAAAATAAATTTTAAAAAATTAAAAAATATATTATTTTACAATATTTTCAAACAAAAAATACTTAAAAAAATTACCATCACATTACCAAACAAATCCACATTAAATAAATTAGTAGCATCAATCTATGAATTAATCTAATTTTTTAAATAAAAATAATATTATTTTAAATTTTTTAAATAAAACAATGTTATTTAGATAATAAAACATTCAAATTTTAAATAAAACTTATTCGCCTTGAGTCAATCTAACATCGAATTAGTGAAGCTAGTTCTATAGTTATGTTATGATAATGTTTATTTTGTAGTGACATTATATTTTTGAAAAAAATACATTATTTTATTTAAAATGAATTTTTAATATTTTTGAATCATTTTATTATATTGATGTAGAAAATAAATTTTAAAAAATAAAAAATAAATTTTTAAAAAATATTTTAAAAACAATCATAATTCTAATATGTATCATGATTTTTTTTTCCTTGTAGAATTTTTGAAGGGATAATTATATACTTAACCCATATACTCACTAATAGATTAGTCATAGATAAACCAGTGCGGGGGCAGGCCTGGGCTCTTTTAAAAAAAATATATTCTTTTATTAAAAAAAATTACAGGCAAAACTATTAAAATTTAATTTTTATCCTCTTAGAAAAAAAATTAATTTTGGCTTCCTAAAAAAAAATTCCTTGCTCCGCTCCTGCGGTCAAGGTGTTCCTAATTCTTCCCCATACTTTATTTGACTTGGGAAGTTGATCTCCGTCGGTTTCCTTGTCGTATGCTTACCAAAAAAAGAAAAAAATGTTTTCCTTGTCATAAATATTTATTTCATGTGCATGAATAAGACAGATACACGTTGAAATTTTTGTTTTTCTTATTCATAAAATAAATTGCATTTACTTGATCCTTTCCTGTTTTATTTTTTTTATATAAATGAAAGCATGTTTGTGTATGTCTTTGAGTAGAAAAGTTACATAGTTAAAACATTTTTCACAGCTCACCTTTTCCAAGCTCGGGGAGCCAGGCAAGTGGTTGTGTTTTTTCAAGAATACAATTAGAGGTGGCAATGGCTATGCTGAAAAAATTCTTAGGGCGGCAGGGGAGAATACGCATAAAAACATGTAAAAAATATGCAAAATATAATAAAAAAATGCACAAAGGAGGCCGAGATATTCCCGTGGTTGCCGGCAGGGGAGCTGAATCAGGCCTTTCGGCTCTTTTGCTTGGCACATCGATATATTTACAATAAATATTGAGAAGTAAGAACTACATGAGGAAGAGGAAGAGGAAGAGTAGTATACAGTCGAAAACTGTGTTCCCTGAATAGCATGCTATGCTTCGTCTATCCGCCTCTGATACACATTTGCACCGCAAAGGCCCGTATGTCACTGCTGCATCATTTCGACTTCAATCTTGTCCTTAACTCACTTTTGCTGTCATGATTCCTACATTACATTTACACACGTAGCTATAGCTTGTTCTTGTATTTTCTGTGCCCAGAATACTTGGTGAAATGAGGGAGTTGCTATCCGATGAGAAGGGGGTCTCCTGAATCAGTTACACAGCTACCACTTCTGTTTGAGGGACTAGGCGCTGGCTCCAGGTTATCGGTCTCGCGAATGCCATTCCTTAACTGCATCGGAACATCTTTTGTAAGGTTGGAAAACATTGCCGAGTTAGCATTGCTACCATTGAAGAGCGTGTTGGTTGGTTTAAACACACCCCACAAGTAGTACTTTCTGCTAAAACCTGCAGACAAATTGCAGATGGTAAATAAAGTCAGCTACATGCTCAAGAACTATCCAGGTTAAAAAGTAAAGACAGTGAGGTTGGTAATGGTAGCTTACGCCACTATTCTATTGGCAATTCATGAGAAGAGAAGATCAATATTTCCAAATTGTTTACCACTGCCTTGAGAGCATGGTCATGAAGGATTATTTCATCTACAAGGCTGTCGAAAGCTCTTTCATCCCTGTTATAGAACAAATCAATCAAAATGAGAAGACAAATATTGACAACAGGAAATCGAAGATCAAAGAAGAGGGTCATCTTTCATGCTCTGGAAAAAAAATAGAGGGCAATATGCTCATCAGTTGGTGGTGTTATCTGAAACATCGGTGGCCACGCATCAGACATGGACAAGATATCTATGTGCAGAAGTTGTGGCAGAATACTTGCTGCATTCCATGCCTTTAAGCATGCTTTGGTTGATAAGTGCGCCTGAAGTTCAACAGCAGTTGATTTTTTCTCATTTCGGATACGGAAGCGTCCCCTACAGCAACAAAAATCAAAACAGAAAATTCTTTCAGTCCGGGCACCACTGAGAAAAAAGTACATTTTTAAACCAAAATAAAAATTATTGTGCATTTAGGGTGAGCCAGAGCCATATATTTTCTCTGTATTTTAATTTGAAACTTAATTTTATATAATTAAACCGTAAAATAATGCAATTGAAAGAGAAAAAAAATTTGAATTTTTTTTTTAAATCTAAGTAAAAAATTCATTGTTCGTATAAACAACCATCAATCTTCAACTTTTTTAGTTTTTGTTAACTATTTCTTTGCCAGTTTTTGTTAACTATTTCTTTGCCAGCACCATTGTTGCAAGATGGACCAAATTTTTTTGTAACGTAAGAAATATAATATATAGACCATAAATAAATAAAAAAAATTACTATTAAACTCAAAACAGGAATTCAAAGTTAAAAGCTCTCAATCCAACTCTTTTTGCTTAGTCTGTTTCTTAAACTCAATTCCATGGAAATTATCTTGAAATACCTCGGGTTAACCTTGGTTTTTAACTATGGAGAAGGCAGCAAGAGAAACTATTCAGGCGCTCCTATTCATATCCATGGGAAGAACCTCGGAAAGAAATTTCTTGTAAATGTCTTAGATTTCAGAAGATAAATCATAAGAACAAAAAGAATAATATACATTGACCAAGTATAAAGTGATAAATATTTTGTAAAGAATAAAAAATAATACTTTTTTTTAAAAAAGTAAAAACTATTACAAAAAATGAAGAGATAAGAAAAAAAATAATGATAAATTGTTCAAGTGTAAAATAATAAAAATATCAAATATAAAAGGAAGACAATATAAAAAAAAGTTATTTTCCAATTAAAAAACCTAATAATTATATATTTGTCACCACTACAGTAAAAAAAATAGAAAGAATTTGAATTGTCATTTCTGCTGTAAAAACCATTTATGTATTATAATAATAATAATAATTCTAAAGATTCAGTTTATGTCGAACAAAGCAGTTTATTGGCTCATGGTTGTCATTGATTGATGTGCGTAGGTTATGATAAATTATTAAATTATGTTGGTTTTAGCTTTTATGCTCAATATTGAAGTTGGGATATAATCTAATTATGTATAAAATTCAATTATAAAAACTAATTTTTTATTTTTTTCTAGCTTGTTTTTAGTAAATCACACACACAAAATTCAAGCACGACATCTAAAACAAAAACACTTTAATTGATTACCCTAAGTGGGTTCCAAATTCCAATAAAGTGATTAGCTTTGCCTTTGCCTGTATAGATAAAGATGTAACAGTGTACATCTTCTTCCTATGATTGCTGCTCATCATGTTATTTATCCCCAAATATTTTTTATAAATTTTTTTATTAGTGATAAATAATTTAATGACTAATGATTAATGTCTTGGACAACCCACTAGTAGATCCACTCCATCAATGATGAGCATTTTCTGGGAAAGATGGATGTTTTGGATACTAGCACGAGTTCAAGTCAAGAAAGAATTTGCTGACATATTTCCAGTACAGACAACATGAAATTTCGGGAAAGCTTCTTTTTGGGAAAGCTTTTCGATATTTCTGGCAATGCTAGCTCCTGATCTAATTTTTGTCATTTTGCTGGATTTTTTATTCAATGACATCGAAATCTATTCACCGTCACAGAATTAATGGACCAAATGCAATTGCATTCGATCTTTCTGTCGAAGTCCATCAGTACATTGGTCTAGAGATAAAACACCTCAAGCTGAGACCCTGATAATGGGAGTGCAGTTTATACGCCCACCCCCAGAATCCACAACACACCAGATAAAAAATCACTTTGATTGTAAAGTAATGGTTATTTTTTAAATGATCTTTTATTTAAAAAAACATATTAATAATTTTTATATTTTTTAAAAAATTATTTTTAGAATCAACCCATTAAAATAATAATTTGAAAATATAAAAAATATATTAATTTAAAACAAAAAAAAAAATTTTTTTTCAAAAACATTTTTAAAACACAGTATCAATACCAAACAGTCACTCAATCAAGCTACCAAAAGAATCCAATCATTCTCCTCTATACCTAAAATCTAAGAAAAAACCACACCGATAAGGTCATAAGAGGCTGAATTTTTTTTTTTCCGTTTTTTTTTTTTGGGGGGACAGAGGGTGTGGGATTTAGTATTATCTGAACTCTAAAACATCAATGCATTGCAGTAAAAACTTTCACTGTCAAAAATACAATGGCAGTTCAAAAGAATCCAATATGACAAAATTATTTACAGAATTAGCTATAATGAGTACCTCAGCCGGCAAATTTAGATGATGCTTTATGTTGGACCCTGGCATACTTTTGTCTTCAAACTTCAAATGCAAGTTCGAGATGCTTCCAAAGAAGCAGCTATTTTGCATATGAGAAGGGAGGCCTCAAAAGCCAGCAAACACATGGCAGTAACCATCATGTCCTTGTGACTGTTGAGTTGCATGTCCCTCCAATCAATTTGCCAACACTTTCTCCCTTTATTGCTTTTGCAATGTTACCCTGTTTGGATAGATTGAAGACAACTACTGTGATGAAGAAGCTTGGTGCAATGAGTTTCTTTTAGATGCTTTATGCTAAACATAACAATGATATGTCCCACTAGAGATTTTTCATTGACAAAAGGAAAAAAACAAGAGCATAAGTTAAACAAAAATTAGGAATCATTCTCTGGTGTAATGGTAACACTTTTGGTTACTGAGTACAAGTGAGCTGATGCACTATAGCAGCAACTTGACTCATTTAATCCATGATCGTTAAATGTTAATATTCATCACAGATCACAAACACTAGGTAACATCTCTATTAGCTAATCCTAGGGTGTTGAGTAAATGGTAAATTTTGGATCAAGCGCCTCATAAATGGTTAAAAAAAGTCCCATAAAATGAAGGCCCAAGTTCATACCCCTCAACAAATCCCTCTACAGAGGCCACCCCATAATTGCACAGGGCATGTGGGAAGGAGGGTTTACTTGTGCCTTCGAATTAGTCAGAATGTCAGATGCCTAACATGTCTTCAACGTCTTGAAACATAAAAAGATCTACCTACAGGCTACAATCTAGATGCAGATTATGAGACATACCTGGAATATTATTTTCTTGGCACAAAGTAATGGCAGTCACGTCCATCACTGAAAGATCTTTTGAAGTCATCTCATAGTAGGTTAGATTTTCAAGAAGACGAGCACTTGGATTATGCCTGGGATCGTCATCATAAACTCCGTCAACATTTCTAGTTTTCAAAACAACTTGTGCATTAACTGGAAGAACAACTTTAAGATTGCCCATCCATTGTCACCCCAAAGGGAGCCACAGATGGCACTTGAGGCTGCCTGCAAATAAAGAAAAGGTATATCATGTGGGGCCACAGAAACATTTCACATTTGTGCCACTCGCAAAAGCCCTCTAAAACTCAAAAGAAAGTGTTCACACACAAAAAAAAAAAAACGCTTAAGCCTTCACACAGGCATTTTAACAAACACTCACAAGACAAAACAAAAATACAAACTTCAGTTCAAATAACTTATGAAATCAAAATATATATATATATATATATATAAAAACCATGTTGTTTCATTACCTTAAATTTATAGGCTCTAAGGTTGGACCCATTTCAGAAAAGCAATGAATCGCCAACAGTCCATTTGAGCTTTGCTTACCCTTCACCAAGCGGTGGTAATTAAGCTTCAATGGAATCAAATATGATAAGGAAGAGGAGGAGGACGTGAGATTCAGAGAGGTAATCGGTGCAAAAGAATTAGTAACGGCAAAGCTATCCGTTTCGGCCTATTCCTCTTGTGAGTTTATCTATCTCCAGCAAGGCAGCAACAAGATAATTTGCTTCGTTTTTCTGCCCCTTCATTTTAGACTTTTTTGGGTTTTTATTTATTTATTTATTGGAAGATATAATGACAGTTCAGTGAACTATAATTAAGAGACCGGTCTGTGATATGATTTGGTTAAGGTGTTAGGCGGTTTGTTTTCTCGGTGTGAATTAAAAAAAATATTATTTTTTTAATTTTTAGATTGTTTGAATATATTAATATTAAAAATAAATTTTAAAAAATTAAAAAATATATTATTTTCAAATATTTTCAAACAAAAAATACTTAAAAAAATTACTATCACATTACCAAACAAACCCACGTTAAATAAATTTGTAACATCAATCTATGAATTAATCTAATTTTTTAAATAAAAATAATAGTATTTTAATTTTTTTAAATAAAACAATGTTATTTAGATAATAAAAAATTAAAGTTTTAAATAAAACTTATTCGCCTTGAGTCAATCTAACATCGAATTAGCGAAGCTAGTTCTATAGTTATGGTATGATAATGTTTATTTTGTGGTGAAATTATATATTTTTTTAAAATAAATTATTTTATTTAAAATAAATTTTTAGTATTTTTAAATCATTTTAGTATATTGATGTAGAAAATAAATTTTAAAAAATAAAATATATATCATTTTAGTCAAGGTCTTCCTAATTCTTCCCCATACTTTATTTGACTTGGGAAGCTGATCTCCGTCGGTTTCCTTGTCGTATGCTTACCAAAAAAAGAAAAAAATGTTTTCCTTGTCATAAATATTTATTTCATGTGCATGAATAAGACAGATACACGTTGAAATTTTTGTTTTTCTTATTCATAAAATAAATTGCATTTACTTGATCCTTTTACATAGTTAAAAGAGAGCACCTTTTCCAAGTTCGGGGAGCAAGGCAAGTGGTTGTGTTTTTTCAAGAATACAATTAGAGGTGGCAATGGCTATGCTGCAAAAATTCACAGGGCCGAGTTTTTATTGGTTTAGAAATGATTTACTACAGAAGAAACTACTGAATTCTATGGTAGAATTTCTGGGATTGTGTATAGAAAAATATAGAAAATATTTGCAAAGTAAGAGAAAATACGCACAAAAACATCCACAAAGGAGGCCAAGTTATTCCCGTGGTGGCCGGCAGGGGAGCTGAATCAGGCCTTTCGGATCTTTTGCTAGGCACATCAATATATTTACAATAAATATTGATAAGTAAGAACTACAATACATGAGGAAGAGGAAGAGTAGTATACAGTAGAAAACTGTGTTCCCTGAATGGCATGCTATGCTTTGTCTATCCGCCTCTGATACACATTTGCACCGCAAAGGCCCGTATGTCGCTGCTGCATCATTTACACACCTAGCTATATTTTGTTAACACATAGCTTGTTCTTGTATTTTCTGTGCCCAGAATACTTGGTGAAATGAGGGAGTTGCTATCCGATGAGAAGGGGGTCTCCTGAATCAGTTACACAGCTACCACTTCTGTTTGAGGGACTAGGCGCTGGCTCCAGGTTATCGGTCTCGCGAATGCCATTCCTTAACTGCATCGGAACATCTTTTGTAAGGTTGGAAAACATTGCCGAGTTAGCATTGCTACCATTGAAGAGCGTGTTGGTTGGTTTAAACACACCCCACAAGTAGTACTTTCTGCTAAAACCTGCAGACAAATTGCAGATGGTAAATAAAGTCAGCTACATGCTCAAGAACTATCCAGGTTAAAAAGTAAAGACAGTGAGGTTGGTAATGGTAGCTTACGCCACTATTCTATTGGCAATTCATGAGAAGAGAAGATCAATATTTCCAAATTGTTTACCACTGCCTTGAGAGCATGGTCATGAAGGATTATTTCATCCGGGCACTATTGAGAAAGAAGTACATTTTTAAACCAAAATAAAAATTATTGTGCATTTAGGGTGAGCCAGAGCCATATATTTTCTCTGTATTTTAATTTGAAACTTAATTTTATATAATTAAACCGTAAAATAATGCAATTGAAAGGGGAAAAAATTTTAAAATCTGAGTAAAAAATTCATTGTTCGTATAAACAATCATCAATCTTCAACTTTTTTAGTTTTTGTTAACTATTTCTTTGCCCGCACTATTGTTGCAAGATGGTCCAAATTTTTTTGGAATGTAAGAAATATAATATATAGATCATAAAAGAAAAAAAAAATTAATATTACTATTAAACTCAATACAGGAATTCAAAGTTAAAAGCTCTCAATCCAACTCTTTTTGCTTAGCCTGTTTCTTAAACTCAATTCCATGGAAATTATCTTGAAATACCTCGGGTTAACCTTGGTTATTAACTATGGAGAAGGTAGCAAGAGAAACTATTCAGGCGTTGCTGCGTTTTTGTTCTCCTATCCATATTCAAGGGAAGAATCTCGGAAAGAAATTTCTTGTAAATGTCTTAGATTTCAGTGCGGATAACCTCGTAAGGAAATCTCATTGAGATGACCTAATTGTTAAAATCAAATAAAAAAAAATCATCTTTGAAATAAAATGTATGTGATGGTTAGTACTATACAAAGACCTAGTAATAAATTTTGCCAATTACTATAATTAAAATTCAAATCAAAAGTTATTTTTAAATAGATCAAATCAAATCACATGGTTCTAAGGCTTAAAATCTTTGAATAAATTGTTGTAGGGATATTTAAAAAAAAATTGTCATAGAAATGTAGCATTGCTGCTATAAATCTATAACAATGAAAAAGAGTTCTTTGAAAATGCAATTTGCTTCGTCCATTCAACCACTCAAAGAACATTAATGATTTTGGAGTGGCGGGAAGGCAGTAAATACCTACCTGACTTCGAGCACATGAAACTTATCAAAACCAGAAAGGAACATCATGTGTAACTGTAATATCAAACACAGACTCTGCTGTGGCCAAAAATAAAAAATAAAAACAGCACAAACTCTGCAATAAAAAGAAACAAGATACAAAAACAACTCATCTATTGCAGTGTTAATGCTCATGTCCATATATATATATAGTGGTAATTTACAATAAAACGTGTGAGCATAGGAAGACTGTTATGTTAGAAACATGTGATCTATACTCTATAAATTGCCTTCCCTGAAGGCAGCTGCAAGGATGATCACCTCACCTGTAAGCCTTTCATGCCCTAATGGCCCTTGCCAAATCCCAGGTCAAATTCAAAACCGAACCAAGTTCAAAACAGAATAAAAGTTTCAAACAAGGTTTGGCATCAAAATGACTGTAATGTCGTCAGTGGTTGACATAATAAGTCCATCTCCTTCCTTAATTTCTGATTATGCTTCCAATATTGTATTATGCAACTAGTTCGTTATAGGTATCGCTTGATCATCTATTATCTGAGGCTTAACAAAATTGCTGAAACACTGGATATGCACTGATAAGATGAGGAGACTGAAGTTTTTACGTAAAGAGTAGTGACTTTCAGAATAAATGTGCAGCCATTTGTTTTGCTTAAAGGACTTTGAGTGGATTCCGGGTGGCTAATCCAACACTCTCCCCATCTTGAGGTCCAGCATTATTTGAGAGGTTGGAGGGCATGGAAGCATCTGCATTGCTAGCAACAGCATGTTTCTTGGTTGCTTTAAACACACCCCACAAATAATAATTTTGGCAGAAACCTTCACACCAGTCATTCGAGGTAGAACTTCACAAAGGAAATTGACTAAATTCTTAAAATCCAAAACAAGAGTATAAACCATGAAAAATAAATCTTACGCCAATGTTCTTGGGGCAGTTCACAAGAAGAGAAGACCAACAGTTCCAAGTCATTTATCACCGCCTTCAGAGCTCGATCTTGAATTATCATCCCATCCAGAAGACTTTCAAAAACTTTTTCATCTCTGTCAAAGAATTAAATGATCATAACAAAAAGGAAAATCTTGTATACAGGATCAAAGAACAAAAATAATCCGTTAAAATTAAGTCAGAGGCTACCTTTCTCTTTGTGGAAAAAAATAAAGACCAATACTTTCAACAGTGGGCGGTGTTGTCTGAAACTTATGGGGCCATGCATCAGACCTGGACAAAATTTCTATGTTCAGCTGTGCGGGGAGGGTACTCGCTGCATCCCATACTTTTGAGCAAGCATTTGTCGATAAATGGGCCAAAAGTAAGACAGAGGTATGATTTTCCAAATTTTGAATGTTGAAGCTTCCCCTGCCAAAAAAGAAGAGGAGAAGATTGTAAATGAGAATACCTGTGGATCATAAACCTGATGTTAATATACAAAACAAACGAAAAAAGAATCATACTTCCAAATTGGATCGATGATTGGTTTTGCATGGATGTATCTATCGGATTCTGAAGATGGTGAACTGTGGGATACATTCAGTGAATCAGCAGCAACAGCAGGAGCTGATTGAAGAGGACTGACAACCAAACATTCAATAATGTCAGATTCCTCATCTGAGCTGCTATCATCTTTAACAACCAACCTCCTCCTTGGTTTTTTGAGCTCTTCATTTTGAAGACATTGAGAAGTTGATAGTGAAAATCTGATCTGCTTTCTCAACTTCATCCTATTCAACTTAATCTTGGCAGCTCCTTCTATTCGTTCACTTTTCCTTGATGAAACTGGAGTAGGATTAGCATCTATTGAGCAACATTCCTCGCATTCCCAAAGGACTTCTTTCTTGCCTTTCCTTGGCAATGAGTACAGACAATAACTGGGGAAAAACATAAGAAACCATGTATTTCAGCACATAAGTTTGATAGAATTAGTATCCATCAAGTTGAAGACAATATTCTGATATCAAAAGAGAGCAGCCGCATTAAAGTTCCATGAGAAAGAAGGATAGCAGTTTCTTTTCTTTTCAAGTACTTGGGGAATAGCGGATCAATTTACATACAGAATCATATTATATGGTCTAATATGGAAGAGCAGTATATCAAATCCAAATTAGATTTTGGAAGAGAGAGAAAAGGGTGTAGATGAAGCACCGGTGGTTCTAAAGCAACAAAACATAACTAAACCAGTCATTCAACAAACCTATGCTCGGCTGAAACGTGACACTTTTTACAGTATATGAGACGTTTCACATCTCCCCTATCACCACACTTCTGACAAACATTCATCTGGAACAAAGAATTAAGAATTATTCAAGCTGGCTGCGAACATGATAACCATATTACTTGTTGAAAACATGTTATTCTATAATGTTTATATGGTGTGCAAAAGCTAGCCAAAGCAAAGAAAATCTCAGTCTGCTGCGTTTTATGGCTCCAATAAGCCAGGCTACCTCAACTGACCGACATATATTTGTTTACTAATGTCTTAATTGTAACACAATACTAGCATCTTATTGAACCAGGGAATTAATCCAGCCTCATAGTTCTGTACGAAGAGGCAGCATTTTCTGCATTCAAAATTGATTAGCCAGTAATATAAACCTGATTGAAAATGCCAAATCTAGCTCATATACAAGCCCTGCTTATAACTGAATCGGAAAATAAATGAATAAATCTCATTCCCGGCATAAAAAATTACTCTTTCTCATCAAGCATGCCTGAAAATATTTGTTAGTTAGTGCATGTGTGCACTGGAATAGAGTAAATGTCCACTCGATAAAAGGGACAAAACTAACCAAATATTAAGTCAACCAGCTATGAGATGGATTCATGATCCAATCCCAGTTCACATTCACACAAAAATGCGTGCATCTATGCTAATCAAACTCAACAGAAAGCATGTCAATTGGCAGCACAATATAAACTTGACCAAGGTATACGTTGGAGCAACATTAATAAGCCTATGACAGCAACAATGAAAGGGAGAATAAAAAATGCTCAAGAATACATAAACTTCGAGTGATAAAATCTGTTCTTAGCCCACAACTCGGTCCTAATTGAAAGAAAAAACCTTCAGCAAATGAAATCAGGTCCCATAATACAGCATAAGAATCTAAACAGTCATAAGTATAAGGTTATAAGATAACAGAAAAAAAGAAAATGAGAACTTGACATGGCTCAACTGCCAGAGCCCCAAAGGCAGGCTCTTTAATGGTGATTCACAATGCAGGTTAACAGAAAGAACACAAAAGGTTGTTCTTTTTAGTTTCAACAAAAGATGGCTTTTTTTCCCTTTTTTAGTATGAAGCAAAAATGGGAAAGACTTCAAAGAAACAGGGTGTTTTTTGAAATCATAATGAAACAGAGGGAAACCAGAGGAGGATCACGTTTTTAGGGCTAGTAGCAGAAGGGTGTTGAAGAAATAAAATGTGCACGAAAAGAAATGGCTGCGTTAGCAAGATAACCTCCTGATCATGTAAAGTTAGAAAGTAGAGAGAGAAACATTGAAATTTGGTGTCGTTTATGGAGAGGTTCATTAGCAAAGTTTTTTAAAAAATTGGCAGAACAACACATTCTGAATTAACGAATTAGCCAATATATAAACGCTGCTTGAAATTATAAAATATAATGCACAAATTATGATGAAAAAAAAAATTTAACTGAACAAATCCAACAATACCTAAAAAATATCACTTCATCAAAAATTAGCAAGTGATTCTCTTCTTCTTTTTCTACAATAAGTACGGCTCATTCTATCATTGTTATATATAAACTTTTATCGTAATAAACTATCATAAAAATACTTTTATCATCAAACAAATGACAGTAATAATAATAATAATGAAATAATTCAAGTTTTTGTGTCCATGTGGCACTAGTTTTTACCCTCCTTATGTTATGAACATAAATATTAAATTTAGATGTGTTAGCTAGTCTACTTTAAACCTGATTAATTTAATAATTGGATTAATTCAGATAAAATAAAAAATTAGGATGAATCAAAACCTAGCAAAATTATAGTTGATTTTTTTTTCAAATCTGTTTTTTTTCCTAACTCTTTTTTTATATTTTTTTTAGTTAATTATTAAATCTTTCAAAATTCATTATATAAATACTAAAAGAATATTTTATTTTTTTAATGTGAAATTTGAAACCCTTTAATATATATATTTTATGATCACAAGAAAAAAGTTAAATTTTTTTAATATAAAAAAAATATTTTTGATTTAAATATTTTAACTTAAAAGAATAATATACTAATATAATATCTTTTCAACGCGAGATAAAAAAAAAATTAAAATAATTTTTTTAATTTTATTATTTATAATATGTATAGTTTATATTCACATAAATTATTTTTTAATTTTTTATATAAAATATTAAAATTTTAATTTTTTTTAAATTTTTCTAAAATGATTCAAATTAATTCAAATAAAATCTATATAACTCCAGACTTATCTTAACCGGATGTGATAACTACAGTTATGGCACAGGATCGGAACCCAAAGTCATTGAGCTTTGAAATTAAATCAAAGGCTCCGACCAATATTCGTATGAGATGTTGGGAAATTAGAATGACTTCTACTTGATTCTAGCTCCACTATGTGAAGCCCAGCACAGAACACAAAGAGTTGGGGTCTGTTTCTACAGTCTGAACCCCCTTTTGTTTTCTGCTACGTGGGCTTGGATCTCCATTAAATCCAGGGGAAAGCTTTACTGCAAAAGATTTGAAAGAATTTAGATTTTCATTACGTATATTAATTATTTTGCTTACAATTGCATTAAGAAATTCCCTTTTATATATACAATTCAAACAAAGATTTTAGCAATAATATTAATAATAAAGCACACAAACAATTATTAAATTTATTTAACTCGATACATTAACTGGCGAATCCTTTTCTTAACCGAGATGAGATATAAAAAAAAATCAACACGATTTTTTTATGTTCGACTAAATTCACCATCAATTTATGATCAAGTTAAAACATGATTTAACTTTTTAAAATGATATTATTTTATTTTTTAAATTAAAATACTACTGTTTAAATTAACTCAAATCAATCAATTCACTCAGCTCAATTTAATTAATGCGAGCACAAAAAGCTAAATAAAAAATATTGACTGCATTTCTTCGTCATTCCATATATACGTGGGGAACCAGTGGCATGACTCAGAGCATGAACGCAGAAGCCATGAAAGTAATTACAAAGCATGTCAAGAGACTTGCTGCCACTGATTTGAGGATATTCTACCAAGAAAAAGGCCAAGTACAAGACCTAGACTAAAAAACATCTACAGTAGATGTAGGGCTCGCATTTAAAGCTGCGAATCACGATCATTGACTTGTATGCTAACATGATCCTGGCTGAATCACAAGGTGCCACAGATTTGGATGACACCATGTGTCATCTCACAACAGAAGACTTGAGTCAACTTCATTAGCAAAACCAGGAAGATCGCTTGAATCTATTTGAGCTTGATAGGCAGTCCATAGTTGTGGAAAGTTTTGATTTTTCCATCCCATCCTGCAGTCACAATCACGAGGCCCCATGCATCTGGTGGGGAGATCTGGTCATTGGTGTTAACGCAATGCTGTTGATGAAGGTCCTCAGTTTGCTGATTTTGATATTCATCTTCTAAAACTGGCACATCCCTCGGAGGAAGTTTCTCCTCAGGCCATGTTGCAGAGCCACCCCTGCATCGGCCATCCATGAAGAACCAACTGCCAAGAGAAAAACGGTCCGAGTCCCTCATCCAGGAAGCATCCCCCTCTGTTTGCACATAACTCCGGAGACCTCTACTGCTCAGGCCTCTCAATTCAGTTCCCGGGCCTGACCAAGGCACAGCAACAGACACACCTTCAGAGAAGAAATACTCGCAGGACCTCACAGATTTTGTGTGTTTAGACCATGGGGTGCACAAGCCATCATAATTCCATACATAAACACGACAGTCCTCTCCAACCGAGATTATATGTCTCCCCTTTGAAGCAAACGAAGCCGACATCTGACTTCCTGACTTTGGAAGACCTACAATAATAAAAAATAATAATAAAAAAGAAGACTGATTTAGGATAACTGGACCGCTTAGAACAATGAACATGCAAGAAATGGAAAGGCGTGCGTTGAAATGCAATATATTAAAACCTCTTAATAAGTTACTCAAATGAGTTTGGATTCACTGTACCAATAAAGTGCATGCAATAAAAAAAGCAGATAAGATCAACAAGAATGAGAGATCCATTCAGAAATGTAAACTATATTCTAATCTAACACGGTTACAGCTGTTAAGGCCACTGGAATCATGAATGAAAGCAGATTTGTGCAGACAGTTAGATTCAATGCGCGCGCGGATGTGTTCTAGTAAACAAGGCGCTTGATTCCAAAGTAGGCTAAAAAAATGGACATTCATGTTTGTGAAAGCTCGAGATATATTGATACGACCCAAAGAAGGGTAGAATCCTAGTTTCCAGGCACATCTTCTCCAGCCGAAAACGAAAAAGTAATGCAACAAAACAAAGTGGAAATGCACTGGAAACTCATGAAATGGGAGGAGCAACTGAAGGGGCTCGGAGGCCCTTTCTGATACTGAGAAATATTCTTACGAGTCTGGTCTGCCGAAAGAAAAAAGACCAGAAGCTAAAGGTTATGCGATTCTTTTAATCATCCTGCGCAGATGTTACCTGAGCTAGACTGATCAAGACTATCTTCTATCACAAACACAAATTAGATGAAATGGCACTTCAAAATAGCAACGTCCATTAGAAACAAGCTAGTAAGGTGTCTCCGAATACCCCTAAAGAATTAATATTGCAGTTTTACCTTTAAATTTATTGACAACATCAACCCCATCAAATACACGAACTTTAGAATCTTCAGATGTGATCATAACCCTTGGACATATTTCCTGGGAAAACTGCAAGATGGGATTGTATTGAATGTTAACAGTGAACAAGATCATGGAAAGCCCAGCTTTCTGATGAAAAGAGATTCAAGTTTGAAACCTGAATGCCAGTAATTCTGTTGCCAGAGTTTCTATTTCTGCCTTGAATATGTATTTCTGCCTCAAGCTGGAGATCAGTGCCTATACAACACAAAAATCCAGGTCAGGATCCTCTAGGAGAAGGATGAGTTGAGGTTCAATATGATAAAAAAGTAACACATCTCAGCAGAGAGAAAAAATTCACCTGATACCTGGTAGAAACGGCAACTGCCAATAATAGTACCAACTACAAACCCCTGATTGCCAAAAAACAAGTTTAGAATGTTTGAGGTGTATAGACTTGCAAAACAGAAAAATTAAATGGATAATATTTCATGAAAAGAACAAGAATCAGAAACATACTCTCCCATCTGGCTGGTAACATATGGCAGATATTACATCTCGTACATCGGCCCAGTGAATAACTCGCTTCTCAGACACTCCCCAAACTCTAACTTTTCCATCGATAGAGCCACTAATGAAATAGTTCTCATCAACAGGATTGAACTGAATGCATGTTACTGTGGCATTCAAAGAAACGAAACAAAACGAGCTTAGAATTTATTTACACATTGCATATTCAAGCAGAACGGGCGGGGAACGAAGAAAACACCTGGAATGAAATGCGAACAGTATAATGAAATCACAGATCAAAGAGATGAGAGGACCAGGTTTTCTCATATTTACCATAACTACTGTGGTGAAAAATGCCCAGACAATAATTGCAACCCACGAGCCACAAACGAACAGTTTTATCCATGGAAGACGAAAGAAGGTGCTGCAACAAAGTTACCAATTTAGCTCGATATTTATTGACCTCAGATATATTATGATGATACCAAACCAAATTTAGTTTTTAAAGGATTGGCTCACATTTGAATTGGACCACGCCAGGTCTAAAATTTCACTGGTATGACCATGAAATTCTTGCAATGGTGTCTCTTCAATATGGAAAACCTTCTCAGGAATGACAACAGATGAATGCGTTCTCTTCTTTGTTCTCAAACTAGATTTGCCTTCTTTCAGGTTGCTATCAGAATGTCCTTCAGATGTGAAAGATTTGCACGATGAATCCACTGAAGTAACACGCCAAATGCGGATAATCCTGTCTTCGCCCCCAGTAGCCAAATACTGCCCATCTGGACTAAACTTCATTGTCCAAATGAAGCCCTTGTGAGCTTGAATTTCCTGTCCCATGTATACCCCTGAAAACTCCATGCACCCTTTTTTGTTCTGCTTCACCTTCGTTCTGTTTGTTTTTGGTGCTTTGGTATCCAACTTGGATACCCCAGATGCACATCTACCTCCTCTTTCCTTCCTCTTTCTTACAAAGAGTTTCCACCAGCTCTTCGTTTTACTTCTTTCTGAATCAAACTTCTTACATTTTTCTTCTTCCCATTGTTCACATCCTTGCCGCAAATGGACTGAAGGTCCAATGTTCTTGTTTTCAGAAGCCGCACCCGGTTTATCCATCGAGAAAGGAAGGATTTCATCAACCATACAATTGGCTTCAGAATTTTCTTCTCTACCAGCAATAAAACTAACCAAATTTACCTCTTCAATAGTTGTACATGAAACTAGAGAACTTGATACAGCCTCGCTGCATTCAGTGATCCTCTCCAAACCAAGATTCTCATCAATGTTGAAAGCAAACCCACCTAGACCCATTCCGCGTAAGAAACCTTGGCGTCTCTCCTTAACACTCTGTGGCTCATTCAACCAAATATCATACTCTAACTTATCACACCCCAATTCCAAGTAATCTACAGAATCAAAGAACAGATCACTCTCTCCTTCATCAGAGCTCAGCATCTTTTCAAGTGCGTAAGACCAATATTCCACATCAAAAACACTATCCTCAACACTCCCTTCTCTAGTAACCATATCAAGTACTAACAACCCCCTATATAAACCCACAAATTGCCACAATTAACGGACCAGGTTTCGCTCTGTAAGAAATTGAAAATAATATAATATGCAGCAAGACACTCTACTGAATAATCAATTCAAATACTTGGGCAAGTACTAGGAACCAACTTCTAACATCCGCACCAATACAAAATGACAGGCTATTGATAAGCATGTTCTAGACCACCAATATAAGATAGATCCCAAGGCAAGATATATATAATAAATATAAATTAAGACACCTAAACTCCGGAAACAAAAACAACAAACAAATGAATAAACAAGGACCAAAGCTCTTACTAACTGGTACCTTGGTTTCCATGCAAAGGAACCAACACCTACACTACAAAAACCACTATTAATCACCGACCCCTCCTTTGATTATGGCTTGTATAACATCGCAAGAGTCAACATTCACACCGCCATGCATTGAAACACAATTCCAAACTCAAATGGTTGGCTTATAAAAGAAAATGGCGGATGAAGGAAAGGTGCCTCTGCCACGCACAGACACTAAAATTGAACCACACGAATTAATGAATTTGCAACAAATGTCAATATCACCAATGGTTAAAAGAGTCTCGAGATCTGGATAACGTGAGTGATCAAGTTTCACTATGTACTTTATTTTGCAAGCGCGCGAGCATCAAACACGAGTGGCAGCTATAGCTAGGTCAAAAAAACAAGAAAACTAGTGTTGTTTGTTGTTCTAGCCACATCTACTGCTACTCTCATTCTCTATTGTGTGCCATGATTGTAATGTAGCAGCAAAAGCAGCAGTCTTTCCTCTGCCTCTGTAACACAATCCAAAAAAGAATAATAAAAGCAATCTTAATAACACCGGTTTCCGTGACTCAAAACCCACAGGGCAAAATCAAAAAAGAACCAAACGTTCTAGAAAAGAAGACAAATTTAAACCAAATAATTCGTTTTATAAAAAGAGCAACAGCTAGAGTTGCAATTTATTTTTATTTTTTCGGGTTTTTGTGGGGGGTTTCCAAAAAAGTATTAAATGTTGAAATTTACAAGGAAACAATAGAGTAAAGAAAAAAACCAACCAACAAACCAACCAAGACAGGTTGTGTGATACTACAAGAAGGGGTATACTTATAGGTACCACAGCTGCTGTAAACCTAAGAAGCTATAGGCAGTGTTACTGAAACAACACAGCACATAAAACACACTTGGTAGCTAGCTAGAAAGAGGGACTGAAAAGAGAAAGCGATTAGTCCCTCAGGCTGTACTGATCACTAAATTAAAGCCTATAAAAACCTTGGGTTTCGTGTGTTTCTTGCATTAAAGATTGAATTTTTTGAGATTGCAAGGAAGGAAAGACAAGAGAAAGACCTTTCTGTTTCTGGGTTTTTCTGGTTTTCTGTTTTGTTTTGTTGTTTTGTGCTTTTCTTACACATTTCCACGTTTTGGGGTTCTCGTCTTGCTGCCATGTAAATCCATAGAATGCAATAAAAGGACTGTAAAAAACCAGCAAAATAAAAGTTGATATAGAAAGAGAGAGACTTTGGATTCCATGATTGCATGAAAACTAGGCGTGATATCTTTCATTGATTGAAAAACTATCTTTCTTTGTTTCCATTTACCATAAATATAGCTTTCAGTTTCCTCCTTTCAGACTCGACAAGATCCAATCCCTCAGTTTCTTTCAGATTCTCTTTGAACAGAGGATTATTTTTTTAAGAAAAAGTAAGTGTTTTGTTTTCTATAAAAATCTTATACTCATAACATGTAGTAAGTAATTAAAATTAGACATTCAATTGTCTTCATATTGCTAGACTGTGGAAGGGCTTGGCCTTAATAGAAGGCTCAAAAACACCTTCATAGTTAAAAAAAATTTATAAAAAAAATCATGAAGACGAATTAACTAGAAGGTGTGGTTTCTCATCAGTGAAACAAGATGAGACCCATAAACTAGTAAAAATAAAATGATATGAACTCATGCTCTCATTGTTCAATGTGAAGTCTCTCTGATCTAAAAAAGATCCCAAAGGTCACATTGAGAGTCTTGAGTGCAGTGTACCGAATTGTACGGATGATGGGCCTACGGTAGTGGTGGAAGAGGAGACTCTCTCGAGAGGCCGTGAATGTAAAGGAAATAATAAGATGAATCATTTGAAAAACTATACTTTTGCGTCTAAATTACAATTTTCAAAAATTTTATTTGTTTTAAATATTTTAAATATATTAGTATTAAAATTAAATTAAAAAAATATTTTAATATATTTTTAAATAAAAAACAATATTTACATCAATCAGTAGACTCGATTCATCTTAATTTAAATAAATATATGAGTTAATTCATAGTTATCAAATCAATTTAACTTTATTATATTTATTTAATTTTAAAAAATTAAAATTTAATTCAGATGAGATTAATCGAGATATAAATTACAATCAGGTCAACGAATTTAATTGAGTAAATTTCAAAACTAGTTAAATTCAAAACTTGGTTTCAATTTAGAAAATAATAATGCTAGAAGTCTCCAAAACCCTAGTATTTAGTTAGGCATCAAAACAACAAAAGAAAGTGAAAGAGAGAACTCTTTTTAGTGTCACCATCGCTCAATGGTACCCCAAGTTTTCTATGCTCTTTTACTTTATCAACCGTTTGATATGGACAGGCTGACGTGTTGTGGATTCATTAAGAAAATGTACTCACAAAACGTGCTTATTGTCTCCTTAATTAAGTTTTATGATGAAAGGAAATATTTAGATTAAAATTTGGAGTATGGATTATATTGCATTAGTTGTTGTTTTTTAAAGTAATTTTTATTTATAAATATATTAAAATAATATTTTTTTATTTTTTTAAATTTATTTTTTATATATATACATCAAAATGATATAAAAATATCAAAAAATATACATCAAAATGATTTAAAAAAATTAAAAAAAAATCATTTTTTTTTCAAAAGCAAACAAGCTCTTAGTAAATTTTTTTTATTGATTTAGTTAAATCCAATTATCTAACTAAAAGCAACATTTTAAGTAGTGATTGGAAAGCAGTCCAATGCAAGAATCACATGAATTAATGGGAAAGGCATTAATTATAGGCAAATGATTAATATACATGGCTCAAGAACACTAAAATAACATAATGGGCATTTTGATTTTTTCTGTAAAATCTAAATCTTTTTATGTTTGTTTGGGAGTGCAGTAAATGTTATTTTTTAAAAATATTTTTTTAAAAAAAATATATTAAAATAATATTTTTTTAATTTTGACATTAATATATTAATATGATAAAAAAAATACTAAAAATTATCAATGTAATGCTTTTCAAAAAAAAAAATTCTTAGTGTATAATTGTACTACAATGTCAAATATTGAGACGCACATGTGGGATGTCCAAATATCTGACTACAATGACAAAAAAAAAAAAGGAGGATGGATAAAAGTCCTAACCTATCTAGCTATATCAAGAGTGATGCTAGAAAGAGTGATGGAGGCTTATATGGTTGTTAACTTCAGGGCCCGTGGGATTAGTCGTAGTGCACGCAAGCTGGCCCGGACACCCACGTTAATCTAAAAAAAAAGCGATGCTAGAAAGAATTAATCATCCATTAAAAATTATGAACTTAATGATTGAGAAAATATGATTATTTTTTTATTAATTATTTCATTTCATGATCGAGATTATATCATTAAATGTGATAAAATTCAAGTTCTATAATCTGAAAAGATTTCTCCAGCATTACTCCTATATCTAGAGTTATATAGAAATAAGCACTACCATATATTTATTTTTAATCCATCCTCGCTTGTATTTCTTGCATTTTCACATTAAATTCCTGATTTAAATCCCACTAGTTTATCTAGTCCATATATAATGCAATGAAGGGCAATGGAATACAGATTTCCTTGCTGATGTGCTATGATAAGGTTATATTTATACATAAAATAGGCTATGATAAGGTAATATTTATACATAAAATAGGCTATGGAATACCCTTAATTTATGTGATTGACGGGACAATGAAATATTGGCGACCTTATTATTTGCATTATATGCTTCCACTGCTACATTGATATGCCATGTGAGGACAAGGATCCAGGGATCGGATCTATCAATGTGCTGCTTTTATGTGGCATATCTCATCCAGAGAGATCTATAGTGACTTTTTTTATTAAAAAAAAAACAAATAAATGCTTTCTTTCTTTCTTTTTTTCAGAACAAAAAAAGAAGGCTGTTGATTGTAATCCCTACTTGGCAAAGGCTTCTCTTTCTCTAATCATATAATCTATGTAAACTTGTATAAACTAAGGTAATGTGAATCATCTTGAAAATGTTAATCTTATAAAAAATTAAAAAAATTATAAAATTAAATTCTTAATTATTTTAATATTAAAAAATAAAATGAATAAAAAAAATTATAAAAAAATTACAATAAAACAAAAAGGAAAAGAGAAAAAAACCATATGTTCAATAAAAAAAATAATATGAAAAAAAATTATATTTTGTAAAAAAATTACAGTATTTTTTCATATAATTTAGTTTTTTTTATAATATGATTAAAATCCACACACTAAGTGGGCTTGGAAACACATCTACATTTACAATTGTTGGGAGTATTATAAACTTCTCTCATGTAAAACAAATAGAGAAGTAACTAAACCTCAAACTTTTTTTCAAAAAAACAATAGGTAATTCTCAAATTATATGTATGCTTGTCTAACCTCGTTTAAAGTCTGCCTTAATTAAGAGTTTAAGTTACTAGTTAGCGAAGTTAACCTTAAAAAAATATAATTTCATTAGTTTTTGTAAAATAAAATTACTTTGTTTCTTATAAATACTTAAAAAAATTAAACGAAGTAGTTTTTTTATTTTTCTTTTTAAAATTGACATGCAGTTCTCTTTCACACTTAACTAAATTAACTAAATTATAGATTAAACTATTATGTTTGATCTTATAATAATATAACAAATAAGAATAAGATATGTTAGTTAGTATATTTCATAAATATAAATAAAAAAATTAACAAAATTGGTGGTATTGAAGAAGTTTGCGGTTTTATGAGTGTATTTGGCTTCGGGACTCAACTTGCTTTTTGTTGAGATTTAAAAATAATAATTTTTTAAATATTTTTATGGTTTTATGAGTATATTTGGCTTCGCGACTAAACTTGCTTTTTGTTGTGATTTAAAAAAAAAAAAAATTAAAATTAAAATAATATTTTTTAATTTATTTTAAAAAAAAACCTTTAAAAAACAATATTATCAGACTCTCAGTACCATCTTTAACATAATATATACTCGACGAAATCCCAGCAAATGCAGCCAAATGAAGATAAAATATTTGTATAGTCTTGAAATGCACAAAGATCGACCTGTATTCAGTACTTTATCATATAATTGTTATTGTATACATGCATGGGGTGCCCAACTTTCAACACTTTTTTTTTATTATATGAGGAAACTCTATCTTTAAAAAATATATTTTATAGGTCTGGATAAATAAATAAAATCCAGATTATCTCATATTTTTATAAAAAATACACTTCTAAATAAATTATTTTAAACTTAAAATGGTGTTTTGGTGTGATAAGGCTGAGCTTTTTTAAAAATTAGCATGGTGTTAAAAAACACTATGTTAAATAAAACTGCTCAGGACTTATTTGTCAGCATAGCATATTTCATTTAGATGGCACGTACAACATAACACGTGCTATGTTTCCAAATAAATTTTTAATTATGATATTTTAACTAAGTTTTTTTATCTTATATATTACTTTAAAAAAAAAACTCAGAAGGGCTCTCACATGATTAAGCATCCAAAATAAATAAATATTCCTATACCACACTAGCTGGAGGAGATGGGGGATGTATATATCAAATTGATGGCACCAAAATCTTATTTTATTTTTAGATTAATTTGGGTATTTCATCAATTTACATGTAGTTCATCTAATTTTATAAATATCAAAATTAACAATTATATAAACTTTCAATAACCATGAGGTGTGTAAGATTTGAATTGATAATTTTTATATTTATATAAAACAAATCAAATATGTGATCCGTTGAGGTACACTTCATGTAATTAAATAATAAAAATAATAAAATAAATGCTTGCAATAAAACATGTTAAGTGTATATATTGTGAGCATAAAACTGACCTGAAAAGTGAAAATTAATCTTCAGCAATGGAGAAGTGAAAATCTCTGTGAAGAGAGAGGGAAACGGATCAAGAATGAGTTAGAGGAAGCAAATGCACTCTATTAATTTCCTTGACATGTTTATATAGATCATAGAAGGGAGAGAAGATGTATGATCATATAATTAAATTAAAGGCATGTTTAGATCATTGGCAAATAATCAAGTAGGAGCACATTGTTCTGCAACATTTTTTATATTGTAAAACTATATTATAACTTTTTGATCCACGAATAATTAAGGCAATTAGTCACCTAATCACCTAATGGTCCCTAGCTTTGTTAGGGCCAAATCTCTCTCAATCTTCTCTCCATATCCTATCATTTAAATCCAGAAGGTGCACGCTTATTTTTCATATTAATTGGTCCCCTTTAATTAGTGGTTGAAAGGAAAATCATGTTTTAAGTTGATCACCCATTTATCATTAGTTTTATTACCCTCCCACGCTCACATTCATTTACTATTATTAAACTCAGCTTGAGCTGGTAGATCAATTCAAAATCTATTTGACTTATCCTTGATTTAGGTTAGGTATAAAAAAAATATAAAACTGATCTCATTTAACTTAATTGGTCTAATAAATTAAATTATAATTCGATTGGCCTTATAAAAACCTAATTGATTTTTTAAAGAAAAAATCAAAGTAATTTTGGTTTGAAATTTAAAATTTTTATTAATCCAAACTTATTCTTTAATGTTTTTTATATCAAGTTAATAACCATGCACACGCGC